ACTGACAACTTCGAGTCTGTAGGCACATTCTTCCACGTGCAACGTGCTATCTTTTGACTTCCTTCTCTTCTGAATGCCTCTATTATGGTCTGGTCTTTCAATTTCGACTTTTTCAACTTCTCTTTCCCGTTTTGATGCTTCTTGGACGAAATATGGATTTTCAGAACACTTTTCTTGGAGGAAATGATTTCTCTACATTCACTGCAAAACAACTTTCCTTTTTCGACAATCAAATTCTCGCCTAGGAACTGCTTAACTCGCTAATATCACGGGACTTTCGTTGTATCGCTGTTTCCTCTCCGCTTGTAATTTCTACTGGTTGATTCTATAGATCGATCTCGAGCTATCGTCATCAAATTATCATCAAATTAGATGTTAGTCACTCTCAGGGGTTAAAGGATTAGGTGAACAATTGAAGAAAGATGAACTACGGTTGATCTCAATGTCCGCACATTCTAACAGAGTGTGTTTTCGGTATGGGAGTGCTTGTTGTAATGAGGGTGCTTACTCAGTAGGGGCGCTGGCGATTATTACCAAAAACAGAATCGAGGGGGCGCTCACAAGCTGGACGAGACGCTTAATGGAATGAAGGCGCTAAATCGAATCATAACGGTTATCTGTATTTTCATCATCCTTTATATCATTAGAAGTATCATCATTTTTAATTATTGTTATCATCATTATCATCATCGTTATTATTTTCTTTAACATGATCACAATTTCATTCAAAATATGGTATCCAGTCCTTTCGTACCAACGGTCGTTTGGTAACTAAATTCGGACAGTTCGTACCCAGTTTGGGCAAAAGTAGCTCAAGTTTCCAAACAGCCACCGTTAATATGCAAACATGTTGACTTTGTGCAGTGGGCGAAATATAAGGACTTGTATGGAAATGAAAAGTCGCCTTCTCAACCTAAAAATCTGAACTAGTTTTCAGTACAAATAAACTTACCTAGCTATTCCTATGTAACGTAACAAATCAACCTTACGTTTAACATACTTAACATGGAAAACATACTTTTTAGTAAGGGTGCGAAGCAACTCAACCGACTGGGTACGAATGGTCCTGGAAACGACCAGTAACAAAAAACATAGAGCGCACTTTTGAATAGGGAGTTTAAGAAAACCACGACAACGACAGCGACGGCGACGGGAACGACACGACACAAAAACGTTTAATAAGCAGAACAACGGCTGTGCCCGTGGGTAAAAAATCTTTGCAAATTTCTTGGCATAAATCTGCAGAACAACAACGTGAAATGACCCAAATTTGCGTTCTCTGGATAATAATAAAAAAATTTAAAACACGATGACTGACTCAGGAGAAGCTTCAGCGTTTCCAAATTAAGATGAAAACTAACCGATGGCATTTCATGAATTGAAGCAACATCAAAAGAGAAATGACAGCAGACAAGACAAGTCCTGCCTCCATCCCGCCTGCAAAGAATATTTAAAAAAAGAAAAAAAAGATTACCATAAAAAATTTACCATCTAACCAAGTCTATTCACTCATCTGTCGTTCGTAATAGTATTTTCGAGTTTAATTGTCTTATTAGCGGTTGTTTAAAGCCCTTAGTTAGGATTGTATATTTTTCTTTTTGGTTGGTGTGTCTGCTGGTTTGTTTTCCTTTCTTATTGATCTGTTTCAGGTAGGTTTGGGTCGGGTAGAAAACGGGAAGGAGGTTTGGGTCGGGTAGAAAACAGGAAAGAGGTTTGGGTTGGGTAGAAAACAGGAAGGAGGTTTGGGTCGGGTAGAAAACAAGAGAGAGGTTTGGGTCGGGTTGAAAACAGGAGGGATATTGTACCGTTTTACTTATGTCCCCTTATTGCTGATATGTCCTCTGACGTAATGAGATACAGTGCCCATTCATATCTTGTGATCTATCGAGCAACACGCAGCTTGGGACTGGTTAAGAGACTCCGTTGTAGTTCTGTCTTTAAGCAAAAGTAATAATTCAAGGGGGGTCGGGATAAGTGGAAAATTTGACCAGTGTTTTCCAGTAACAACGGATGAACAACCTCCTGCTGATTTCAGGAAAACTTGCTATCCGCATGGTCATTGCGAAACAGATCATTGGCCTCTCCCTCACACACATTACTTCCCTTGAAGTTCTAACGTTTCTTCGTTAACGCCATATGAGCCAAAATTGGCCTACTAGGCTTCGTAAAACTCAGTTTTCTGAGTTTTAGAAGTGCTTACCTGAAAATCAACGCACAATGTTTTAGAGATTAAAGATGTATCTACAATTTCCACCTAAAATGAACGATACTTTGTGCAGTGAAAAGTATTTTCCTTTTGCACTTGAAAATATTGTAAATTTGGTCATTTTTAGTATGAAAGTCATTTTCGGTAAGAGAGAGCTGTTGGTACCCGTAGACCTGTCAAAGTCCAGTATAAATTGAAACATTTGCAAACGGATAACTTTTTGAGGCCGCCAA